ATTTTTACCAGGCCAAAGCCAGCAGTCCAGCAGAAAGCTGGATAATTTTGATCAAGTCTCTTTGGCCAGTACTGTGTGTAATCAACAATGCAGTTTACAGAAAAATGTACTATGTACAAACAATACTTTTTAGGACATCAAACAACCAGAAAGATAAAATAAAGGAAATAGGGAAACCCCTCCATTCATTTGAAGGAATATTTCTTTTTAAGCAAATTCTAATAGAAATGTTCACAAGAGTGGTTATATCAAGAGCATGTTTTTGTCCACCATGATTAAAATAAAATATTTTTCAAAGCCATAAGCTTCATATGCTTCAATAATTTTTCCATATTAATGTTTCATTATATAAACCATATCATTATTTCTTCTTCCCCAACAGTGGTATGAAATCAATTCAGTTAGTGTATTTCACAACATAACGTACATTGGTCAAGAAACTGAGCATGCATCAGCTATCTTGGGTTTTTTTCTTAATTCCATTTTGGAAGCCCAAATGTTCAAGTTACATTGCCTGTACTCACATTTTTGGAAGGTGGGCAAGTTGGGGAATAGATTCAGCCAATGCATCCCCAAATACTCTGAAGACTTCTGATCTTTCAGATGAAAATATTTAAATAGAGCAGGGAAGTGCTTAACAAAAAAAGACTACCAAATGACGAATGAGGCGGAGAAGGAAGATGCGTTATAACGAATGTAACAAAAGGTAGGCTCAGGAGGGAGACTGCCATTTTGAAGGTAAATATACAATGCAGTGCAGTGTATCAAGACCCTGTAACATGGAGGGGTAAAATGCTTATTTATATTATAGAAAGCAGACACAGAATGAATCAAATGGTGAGAGGTGTGTGTTGTTTCATTAAATCTCTTGATGAATGATTCTGAAGTAAAAAGATTAGCTCAGAGAAAGGACTGGGAAGTAAGGAAGAAATGAGGGAGCTCTGAATTACTTTGCAAATGAAAGTTGGACTTGGAGTTTGGGGCTTGGGGGAAGTTTTAAAAAGTTTTAGACAAATATCAGGGAAGATTTCTTGCCAGAGCCATAGATAATTAGTTGATTCTTTTCATGAGACATTGAGTAAAAGATTTAGAACTCCAACACACAGATATCAGCCAAAAAGTTTTTTCAACACTCTCATTAATTTTATTTTTTAAATTATACTTTAAGTTCTGGGATTCATGTGCAGAATACGCAGGTTTGTTACATATGTATACACACGCCATGGTGGTTTGCTGCACCCATAAACCCATCATCTACATTAGGTATTTCTCCTAATGCTATCTCCCTTAGCTCCCTACCCCTCAACAGACCCCAGTGTGTGATGTTCCCCTCCCTGTGTCCATGTGTTTTCATTGTTCAACTCCCACTTATGAGTGAGAACATGTGGTGTTTGGTTTTCTGTTCCTGTGTTAGTTTGCTGAGATTGATGGTTTCCAGTTTCATCCATGTCCCTGCAAAGGACATGAACTCATCATTTTTCATGACTGCTTAGTATTCCATGGTATATATGTGCCACATATTCTTTATCCGGTCTATCATTGGTGGGCATTTGGGTTGGTTCCAAGTCTTTGCTATTGTGAATAGTGCTTCAATAAACATACATGTGCATGTGTCTTTATAGTAAAATGATTTATAACCATTTGGGTATAAACCCAGTAATGGGTTTGCTGGGTCAAACGGTATTTCTGGTTCTAGATCCTTAAGGAATCACCATACTGCCTTCCACAATGGTTGAACTGATTTACACTTCCACCGACAGTATAAAAGCATTCTTATTTCTCCACATCCTCTCTAGCATCTGTTGTTTCCTGACTTTTTAATGATCGCCAATCTAACTGGCATGAGATGGTACCTCACTGTGGTTTTGATTTGCATTTCTCTAATAACCAGTGATGATGAGCTTTTTTTCATGTTTGTTGGCTGCATAAATGTCTTTTTTTGAGAAATGTCTGTTTATATCCTTTGCACACTTTTTGATGGGGCTGTTTCTTTCTTGTAAATTTGTTTAAGTTCCTTGTAGACTCTGGATTAAAAAACAATCAGATATTACCTGTAAAGCTGTCCCAGCAACCTGCTGGTAACATTTCTTCCTTTTGTTTACAAAACTCAGATCAGCAAAGACCCTGGCCCTCTGGATTGAGATGACTAGGCAAAGGGAGGTTTCTTCATAGGTCAAAAATCCACAAACATAACCTTTCCCGGTAGAGAGGTAACTCAGTACTTTCTTTTATAGCCAGGATAATTGTGCAGAGTAACTTCCAATTATAGCTTCTTATTTCTCATGTGGGCCACTGAAAGACTTGCTTCCTCTATTCTCCAAAAGAAATACTCCAAAATAGCAAGCCTGCATGTTTCCCATCACCTAGAGGAAGATGTGAATGAACATTTTCCAGGACACCTCATGTCATCATTTTCTCCTCTGTTGGAACTTGTGTAAATGATATTTTGGAAATGGAAGAGTCCCGGCCATGAGATCTCTGTTCTAAGAGTACTGATAGTACTTCAAGTCCATCTCTCTGCAGATGAAGGAAAGGTTGTCATATGGCAAATCCCTATTGCCTACTTTCCCAAGAATTCACAAATAAGACATGAAAAAATAACAGGAAAAATGAGAATTTAAGTAGCTGTGACACAGTCTAAGAAGGAGAGAAGCTGCCTGTCAAGAGAGAAGAAGGATGACACCCCTAAGAAAAAGATGATTATTGTGAAATACATGCAGCAGTTATGTCTAGGGTCTTTAAAAACAGGAACATCTAAAATGTAAACATAGGCCATTTGCAGAAGTAGGAGGCAACATAACCTACTTCTGATGCTCCTAAGCCCTCAGTAAAAGCATGAGGTACAGAAATGCCTTTGCTAATATTGCTTTGGGGAAAATACAAGGATAGGGTCAATGCACATAAAACGAAAGGTTAGGAAATGAGATACACAGGAGAGATTTTAAAAATTCAGAGGAAAACAGGAAATCCAGAAAGGGTGACAAAGAGAAACTGAAGCCATCTAAAAATTCTCGGGTGATGGGTGAAAGGCTGGTTTTCCACCCAAGTGTGCACACTGGCTAGGTGCTGATGAAGATGGTGAGGTTTTTGTTTGTTGCCTTGAATTGCTTGCTTACGTGTTTATACCATAAAAGATATAGGTTATGTAGCCAGCTGATGCATGTAAAGCAGGTCTACTTCTGACTCTTTGATGATCACAGCAAGCCCACAATGACACAGACAGATGACCAAATTGGAGATAGTAAAAATGACTGTATTATGTGCCATAAAAGAATAAATAAAGATGGATCTCTTCTGTTACATTGTTTTGACTTTACTGGATACCACACAGGGTATTTATTTTATGGTTTGACCTTTCATATTTTTGCCTGATATGATAGCTAGAAAAATAGCACACGGAAAGGAAAAATTAAACTAAACAAGAGTCAAATGTCTAGAAAGGAGATATGTATGCGAACTAAGAATGAAGGATGTAAGAAAATTAATCATGGTCACTGATAAATTTAATGCACTGGCCTCACAATTAAATAATGCTCTTACAATTTATCCATAATGACTGCTGTCTTTGCCTATGTCTTTGGTTTGTGACTATTGGGGCGGGTAGGAAACTAGAGGAGAGATAGCAGGGGGTTAGGGGGTTGAGGAGGGATAGCATTAGGAGAAATACCTAATATAGATGATGGGTTGATGGATGCAGCAAATCACCATGGCACGTGTATACCTATGTAACAAACTTGCATGTTCTGCATATGTAGCCTAGAACTTAAAGTATAATTTTAAAAGAAAGAAAGAAAAGAGGTTAGTTCAGAGGCATACTAATGAGTCATGTGATCACCATCAATGTCCAGCCCTCCCATCAGCCAGAATTCTATGTATTCCTTAGAAAGCAGCTCAATCTTTCTTTCATCCACCTATACACAAATTCTAGAGCCATCAACTAAGTCTACTTATTGAAAGTGATTAAAAGCAGAGACCCAGGATCTGGTCTGCCATTATTTGAATCTAAACTATGCCACTATCTAGCTCTGTGATGTTAGAGCAAGTTATATAACCTATTTGTGCTTTAGTTGCTTCATCTTTAAATAGGGAAACATAATGGTTTCTAATTTATAACATTTTTCTAAGTATTCAATTAGTACAAATAAAGTACTTAAGAACAGTGTCTGACACATAAGCACCATAAAAGTGTTAGTTATTACTGTGATTTTCATCAGCAGTAGTGCTTTATCAGGTAGCAAATACCTGGAACGTAGCAGCTACTAAGTAAAAGGGAGCTTCATCCCTTCCTCCCCACCACTTCCACTCTCCCTGGTTTTGGAAAAATGTGGGAATCCCTTTGCCTTCTCTTTCATCTCCAAAATGTCTGGCATATTTCCTATTTCTGACAACTATGGCAATATATGTATGTAGCTTGATGGACACCGATGATAAATGAAATGTTCTGTAGGATTATTGATCTTAGTGCTACTTAAAGCCTTAGAAATTTAAAGATGAAAAGGGCTTTATACATTGCTGACTCCCAATCTGTTACTTTCTCTCTCTGGTCTTTAGATATCTCTATTTAGTTTAGTGCAATACTCACATTAGTCCATACTTTATCCCTATATTTAACTTCCCAACTCCTAAAACAGTAGTTCTCATTCCTAGCTGAACAGCAGAGTCATGTGAAGCTTTAGAGATACCAAGCTTATAAGTGCAATGGTTTTTAAGTGTGCATGATCATTAAAATCACCAGAAGAGCTTTCAAATTGTATATTGCACCCATGACCAACACTATTAGTATTTTGGGGTGAGGCCCTAGGAGAAGCACCTAAGGTAATTCTAACATTCATCTTAGTGTAGACACCACTGCTCTACTGAACCACATGATGCTCAATGTATCTTGCCTCATCAAGTCATACCTAACACTTGAACTTGGATTTAGGAAAATGAGGAGTAAAAATCGTAAAGCACGTGATTTTTTTTAAATGTTGTGGCATTTTTTTGGTATCTTAAATATAAAGAAGACATACTTTTTGTTGTTGTTATTAGAAAGCTTTTTTTAAAATTGTACTTTAGGTTCTGGAGTACAGGTGCAGATCATGCAGGATTGTTACACAGGTACATACATGGCAAGGTGGTTTGCTGCCTCCATCCCCCCATCACCTGTATCTGGCATTTCTCCCCATGTTATCCCTCTCCAACCTCCTCACCCCCTGCTGTCCCTCCTGTAGCCTCCCCAACAGACCCCAGTGTGTGATGCTCCCCTCCCTGTATCCATGTGTTCTCATTTTCAACACTCACCTACAAGTGAGAACATGCAGTGTTTGATTTTCTGTTCTTATGTCAGTTTGCTGAGAATGATGGTTTCCAGATTCATCCATGTCCCTACAAAGGACACAAAATCACGGGTTTCTATGGCTGCATAGTATTCCATGGTGATATGTGCCACATTTTTCTTGTCCATACTTTTTTTTTTTTTTGAGACAGAGCCTTACTCTGTCACCCAGGCTAAAGTGCAATGGTGCAATCATAGGTCACTACAGCCTCAAACTCCTGGCCTCAAGTGATCCTCCCACCTCAGTCTCCCTAGTATATAGGACTACAGGTGCACACTACATGCTAATTTTTTAAAATTTTTTGTAAAGATGAAGTCTTTCTATGATACCCAACCTGGTCTCGAATTCTTAGTCTCAAGTGATCTTCCTGCCTCTGCCTCTCAAAGTGCTTGGATTATAGATGTGAGCCACTACTCCAGGCAAGAAGACATACTTAAATATAAATAGTATACTCTTAGAAAGGGTTTTTACTTCTCCTGGGGTAGCTTTTGGAGTAATTCTGACTTGTTGAGACCTCTATTCCTGGAATATCACAAATGCTCAATCTATCACTGATTATGAGAAACCCATTAAACAGCAAGTAGAACTCCCCTCACTCTGGCAGAATATCCACGAATATACTGAGAAAAATCTAAAAGGCTATGAAAACTGCAAATCAATATATAGAAACCATGATAAATATGCAAACTAGTGATATAAAAACAAAGCACATATGGCAAGCATCAGGAGATGGACAGGATCCTATACTAAACAAGACTTTTTTCTTTATTCTCTTTCCCATCTCACACTTCTTCTTCAAGATTTATTTCTGTACATATCACATTCTGAAAGAAAATGAGCTACCCTGACAAAACAGGTAGTCTGTGGTTGGCCAGTTGCCAGATAATATTCTCTTTCTATATAAAAGATTTTACTTTGAATTAGCCTGGATAAATTCAATTGAATTGTAATATACACCTATTTGTGTGTGTTTGCTTTCTGGTATCTTGCAGATATTTGATGGGGACAGAATGGTAAAAAATATAATCTTAATATGAACCATTTTTGACATTAAATCCTGTTGCACAGAGACTCATAACTACATGGCTATTTCTCTCACGTCATTTGATATTCTATTTAGAACACAAGCTCAAAGGGCCAGATGTGTTCACCCACTATCTTGTTTCAGATATAGACCACTTTTCTTACTAGAGCCTGAGGAAAAGAATAACAAAACTGTCTCCCCTAAAGTTTCATTTGATTTACAGACCACAGTTCATTAAGTAGCCCATATGATTTGAAAAAGTCAAAGGGCTAAATAACAGAAAGAAGGATAAAAATATGAAGCTTTGGAAAACTATTTAGCACCTGGAGTCCTAAACCTCATACGAAGATCGCTCTAAATCACTTCATTTTGTGGCATCAAAAACAGAAAGAAGAAAGTCTTCTTTAAAAGTCTCCTGGCAACTAGGAGACATGTCTGTTTTCTCATACCACATTGTGAATACTGCTGCCACGGGATTTGTCACACTGTTTACCTCCCCACTCCCCCTGTGATTCTGAGAGCTTGTTAGGGGCAGAGGCCATATTCCACCTGGGTCACTGACTACTTATTACAAGTGCCTGATAAATGAGCCCCTTTCCATTTACTTTTGGGAAAAAACTGTTCTCAGCTTACAGAGAAGGAAAGTAGACTACTAAGAAGGAATGCTGAAATACATGCTCTTTATAGCCTGACTTCTTGAATTCAAATCTTAGTTCATTCACTTACTATCAGTCCATTTTGTGCTCCTACAACAAAATACACAAAAGTGTGTAATTCACGAACAGAAATTTATTTCTCACAATTCTGGAGGCTGGGAAATCCAAGATCAAAGTGCTGGCATTTGGTGTGCTTGAGGGCCTTTTTGCTGTGTCCTCCCACAGGCAGAAAGCAGAACAGCAAGCTGGCTGAACTTTGCAGGAAGCCTTTTTAGAAAAGGGCACAATCCCGTTAATAAGTGAACCAGTCTTCTTGGCCTAATCATCTTGTAAAGGCCCAACTGCTTAACACTATCGCAGTTGCACCACTTGAATTTTGGAAGGGATACAGTCAAACTACAGCAGTGACTTTGGAAAAGATACTTAACATCTCTGCACCTCAGTTTGCTCATTCTAAAAATAAGATTATACTGCTACTTACTTCATAAGGCTGTAATAAGAACTAAATGAATCAACATATGCAAAGTACTTAGATCAGGGTTACAATACATAACGCTATAGTGTTCACTACTATTATATGCTGTTGCATATACTACCTAAATCTTACCAACCATCATCTGAGATAGACACTATGGGCCCCATTTACAGATATAAAAGCAAACTCCTGACTAATCTCTTAAGTGGCAGATATTTTTTTAGAGAAAGAGAGAGTCTCACTCTATTGCCAAGGTTGAAGTGCAGTGGTATGATAACAGCTCACTGCAGCCTGGACTTGCCCCGGCTCAGGTGATCCTGCCACCTCAGTCCCTCAAGTAGCTGGTACTAAAGGTGTGTGACACCATGTCCGGATAATTTTTATATTTTTCACAGAGGCTGTGTTTTTTCATGTTGCCCAGGCTAGTCTCAAACTCCTGGGTTCCATCAGTCTGTCCACCTCAGCCTTCCAAAGTGCTAGGATTATAGTCACGAGCCAGGGCTTCTGACAGATGTATTATTGAAACTGTTCCTATTTCCAAGCTTTAGCTCTTTTCCCTTTTCCAGAATGTCTCTCCTTTGAGCATTCATTTACTTAAATTCCATTTATTAAGATTATGTTAGATGTAAGGTATTGTTCATGGTCTTGCAAAAAAATCAAAAAGATGAACAAGACATGATGTCTATCTTCAAGGACGATAAAAACACTAGAGGAATATGTAGACATAACTAATTTTAGTATGAGGAGAACATTATAAGTAATGGGATAGAATTTCAAAGTTCTATGAATGGAAATTAGAAGAAAGACTATGGCTAAAAATAGGAGAGGCTTCATGAAATAGGTAGTTTTCAACTGGATTTTTAATACTTGTGGGTAGAAATGACAGGCAACCTCAGGACTGGGGAGTAAAAGGGAAGACACGTCAGATGACAATAATTGTGTGAGAAATATTAGAGAAGCAAACAACACTCAGACACACACACACACCTCCATCCTTTGTTCAAGGAGAGTGAGAGTAGTTACTTTGCTGTTATGAATATAATTAAGCTTGGAAAGGTGGTGCATGGACACTTTTGGGAGGGCTCCAAAAGTGATACTAAGATATTAAAACTTTGCTTTGTAGGTAATAGGGAGTTAGTTTAGGTTTCTAAAAACCCTTAAAAGAAGGAGGATGTGGAGGTAGTCATATGGCCAGAGCTATATATTAGAATATGTAGAATATCTTAGTAGAGTGAAAGTGAGGAGAAGCTGGAAAGTAGAGACATAAAAAACAATTCAAGGAAAAAGCAACATCCTGAATAAGGAAAACAATGAGAAATATAAGAGGAAAACAATGCTAAAAGAGGTACGAAAAGCAGAAATTAGCAAATGACTAGAAGTAGAGTGAAGAAGGCTAAACAGGATACCAATATTTACCGGTATTTGCTAAGTGCCTTGAAATATACTATATTATCTTATTAAATTTCACAACATGCTTCCAAGATAAGAGGAATCTGATATTGCTTGACAGAAAGGAATATAGAAAGCTGAGTTTGAATATTGACTCTGGCACTTACTGCATGAAATTAAAAGAATTACATAGTCTCCTGTGACTCAATTTCCTTAGATAAAATATGTAGATGACAATATCTGCCTCATGGTGATGTTAATGAAAATTGATTGGGATGCTTATAATTTTCTGGAAAAGATCTACTATGTATTTTTTTTTCTCATTAAGTGATAGCAATAATGATTAGAGAAAAATTTTGCAGAACAAGAATTGGTAAGTTAACCAAGATTACATCTCTGGTAAGAGTCAAAGGCAAAATTTAACCTCATTTTCTTATAATTCCAAAGTCTATCTTTATTCTAACATTCCATGCTTTCTTTACCTTTCAATGTAGGAAAACAACTGTAATGTCTTGGGAATGAAGAACTAGAATCAAGATAACAAATAGAAAAATGGGATTATAGAAGTGCTCCACTGAGTCCAAAATTAGCATTGAATTAGAGGATAGTTTGATCTTCTGATTCCATCATGGTGGACAGGAGGCAGGACTAGATTGCAGCTCTGACTTGGACAAACCGAGCAGCATGCAGAGGCTTACATCATGAATTTTAGCTCCTGAATGACTGACTGCAGGAATACATCAGGAAACCTGAAATGACCCAGATACCCTCTGAAGAAAGCAGATTGCTCCTACAGGACCCAAGAGACACCCCAAATACTGTGCTGACATCCATGGCTAAGAGATCCATAGACGGTTCACCTCACAGGACTCTGTACAGACAGCTGCCAGTACCAGCCTGGAGCCCAGAAGACCTGCTGGGTAGCCAGACCCAGAAGAAAGATAACAATAACTACAGCTCAGCTCTCAGGAAGCCACATCCATAGGAAAAGGGTTGAGAGTACTACATCAAGAAAATACCCCATAGGACAAAAGAATCTGAACCACAGCCTTCAGCCCTAGACCTTCCTTCTGACAGAGGCTACCCAAATGAGAAGGAACCAGAAAATCAACTCTGGTAATATGACAAAACAAGGCACTTTAACACCCCTCCAAAAATCACAATAGCTCACCAGCAACGGATTCAAATTAAGAAGAAATCCCTGATTTACCTGAAAAAGAATTCAGGAAGTTAGTTATTAAGCTAATCAAGGAGGCAACAGAGAAAGGCAAAGTCCAATGCAAGGAAATCCAAAAACTAGTATAAGAAGCGAAGGTAGAAATATTCGATGAAATAGATAGCATAAATTTAAAAAACAATCAAAACTTCAGGAAACATTGGACTCACATATAGAAATGCAAAATGCTCTGGAAAGTATCAGTAATAGAAGTGAACAATTGAGGAAAGAAATTCAGAGTTCAAAGACAAGGTGTTTGAATTACCCCAATCCAACATAGACAAAGAAAAAAGAATAAGAAAATATGAACAAGCCTCCAAGAAGTCTGTGATTATGTTAAATGACCAAACCTAAGAATAATTGCATTTCAGAGAAAGAAGAGAAATCTAAAAATTTGGAAAATGTAGTGGGGGAATAATTGAGAAAACTTCCCTGCCCTTGCTAGAGACCTAGGCATCCGAATATCAGAAGGACAAAGACCACCTGGGAAATTTATCACAAAAAGATCATTGCCTAGTCACATTGTCATCAGTTTATTTAAAGTTAAGATGAAGGAAATAATATTAAGAGTTATGAGACAAAAGCACCAGGTAATCTATAAAGAAACATTAACAGCAGATTTCTCAGCAGAAACCCTACAAGCTAGAGAGGATTGGGGCCCTATCTTCAGCATCCTCAAACAAAACAGCTAACAGGCCAGGTGTGGTGGCTCACATCTATAATCCCAACACTTTGGGAGGCTGAGGCAGATAGATCACCTGAGGTTAGGAGTTCAAGACCAGCCTGTCCAACTATGGTGAAACCCTGTCTCTCCTAAAGATACAAAAATTAGCTGGGCATGGTGGCAGGTGACTGTAATCCCAGCCACTGGGGAGGCTGAGGGAGGAGAATCACTTGGACCCCAGAGATGGAGGTTACAGTGAGCTGAGATTGCACCACTGCACTCCAGCCTGAGCAACAGAGTGAGACTCTGTCTCAAAACAAATGAACAAACACAATTATCAGCCAAGAATTCTGTATCCAGTGAAACTAAGCATCATATATGAGGGAAAGATACAGTCTTTTTCAGAAAAACAAATGCTGACAGAATTTCCCATTACCAAGCTACCGCTACAAGAACTGCTAAAAGGAGCTCTAAATCTTGAAAGAAATTCTGGAAACACATGAAAAAAGAATCTCTTTAAAGAATAAATTCCCATAGGACCTATAAAACAAAAATACAATTTAAAAAACAAAAACAAAGAACCAAGTTACATAGACAACAAACAGCATGATGAATGGAATGGCACCTCACATCTCAATACTAACATTGAATGTAAATAGCCTAACTGCTCCACTTAAAAGATATAGAACTGCAGAATGAATAAAGATTTACCAACCAACTATCTGCTGCCTTCAATGGACTCACCTAACACATAAGGATTCACATAAATTTAAAGTAAAGGGGTGGAAAAAGGTATTTCATGCAAATGGACGCCAAAAGTGAGCATATGGAGTAGCTATTCTCATATCAGACAAAATAAACTTTAAAGCAACAGCAGTTAAGAAAGACAAAGAGGGACATTATATAATAGTAAAAGGCTTTGTCCAACAGGAAAATATCACAATCCTAAACATATATGTACCTAACACTGGAGCTCCCAAATTTATAAAACAATTACTAATAGAACTAAGAAATTAGACAGACAGCAATAGGGTAATATTGGAGGACTTAAATACTCCACTGACAGCACTAGACAGGTCATCAAGACAGAAAGTCAACAAAGAAACAATTGATTTAAACTACACCTTGACACAAATGGACATAACAGATATATATAGATCATTCCATCCAACAGTCACAGAATACACATTCTATTCAACAGCACATAGAACTTTCTCCAAGATAGACCATATGATAGGCCACAAAACAAGCCTCAATAAATTTAAGAAAATTGAAATTATGTAAAGCACTCTTGCAGACCACAGTGGAATAAAACAGGAAATCAACTCCAAAAGGAACCTTCAAAACCAAGTAAATACATGAAAAGTAAATAACCTGTTCCTGAATGGTCATTGGGTCAAAAAAGAAATCAAGATGGAAATTTAAAAATTCTTCAAATTGAATGACAATAGTGACACAACCTATCAAAACCTCTGGGACACAACAAAGGTGGTGCTAAGAGGAAAGTTCATAGCCCTAAATGCCTACATCAAAAAGACTGAAAGAGTACAAATAGACAATCTAAGATCACACCTAAGGAACTAGAGAAACAAGAACAAACCAACCTAAACCCAGCAGAAGAAAGGAAATAACCAAGATCAGAGCAAAACTAAATGAAATTGAAACATACAAACAAAAATACAAATGATAAAAGAAACAAAAAGCTGCTTCTTTGAAAAGATAAATAAAACTGATAGATCTTAGCAAGATTAACCAAGGAAAGAAGACAGAAAATCCAAATAACTGCAATAAGAAATGAAGTGGTGATATTACAACTGACACCACAGAAAAACAAAAGATTATTCAAGGCTACCATAAACACCTTTGCACACATGAACTAGAGAACCAAAAGAGATGGATATATTACTGGAAAGATACAACCCTAATAGCTTAAATCAGGAAGAATTAGATACCCTCAACAGATCAATAACAAGCAGTGAGACTGAAATGGTAATTAAAATATCACCAACAAAAAAAGTCCAGGAACAGACAAGATTCACAGCAGAATTCTACCAGACATTCAAAGAACAATCGATACCAATCCTGTTGACACTGTTCCACAAGATAGAGAAAAAGGGACCTCTCCCTAATTCATTCTATGAATCCAGCATCACCCTAATACCAAAACCAGGAAAGGACATAACCAAGAAAGAAAACTACAGACCAATATCCCTGACGACATAGATGCTAAAATCCTTAACAAAATACTACTTAACTGAATCCAACAACATATAAAAAAGATAATCTACCATGATCAGGTGGGTTTCATACTAGGGATTCAGGGATTGTTTAACATATGTAAGTCAATAAATGTGATATATCACATTAACAGAATTAAAAACAAATTACATGATCATCTCAATAGATGCAGAAAAGGCATTCAACAAAATCTAGCATCCATTTATGATTAAAACTCTAAGCAAAATTGACATACAAAGGACATAACTCAACGCAATTAAAAAAAAAACAGTCACATAACCAACATAACACTGAATGGAGAAAAGTTGAAAGCATTCCCTCTGAGAACTGGAAAAAGAAAAGGAAGCCCACTTTCACCACTCTTCTTCAACATAGTACTAGAAGTCCTAGCCAGAGCAATCAGACAAGAAAAAGAAATAAAGGGCATCCAAATAGGTAAAGAGGAAGTCAAACTGTCACTGTTTGCTGATGATATGATTGTTTACCTCAAAAACCCTAAAGACTGCTCCAGAAAGCTCCTAGAACTAATGAAAGAATTCAGCAGTTTCCAGATACAAAATTAATGTACACAAATCAGTAGCTCTTTTATGCACCAAGAGCAACCAAACAGAAAATCAAATTAAGAACTCAACCTTTTTTGCAAAAATGGCCAAAAAAAAAGAAAAAGAAATAAAATACTTAGGAATATACCTAACCAGGGAGGTGAAAGAACTCTACAAGGAAAAGTACAAAACACTGCTGAAACAAATCATAGATGACAAAAAATAAATAAATAGAAACATATCCCATGCTCATGGATGGATAGAATCAATATTTTGAAAATGACCATACTATCAAAAGCAATCTACAAATTCAATGCAGTTCTCACCAAAATACCACCATTATTTTCCCCAGAATTATAAAAAACAATTCTAAAATTCATATGGAATTATAAAAGAGCCCAGATAGCCAAAGAAAGACCAAGCAAAAAGAACAAATCTGGAGATATCACATTACCTGATTTCAAACTATACTATAAGGCCATAGTCACCAAGACATCATGGTATCGATATAAAAATAGGCACAAAGACCAATGGAACAGAATGGAGAACCCAGAAATAAACCCAAATAGTTACAACCAACTCATGTTCAACAAAGCAAACAAAAACAAAAAGTGGGGAAAAAACATCCTTTTCAACAAATGGTGTTGGGATAATTAGCCATATGTAGGAGACTAAAACTGGATCCTCATCTCTCACCTTAAATACTTACAACCAACTCATGTTCAACAAAGCAAACAAAAACATTAAAGTGGGGAAAGAACAACCTTTTCAACAAATAGTGTTGGGATAATTGGCTAGCCACATGTAGGAGAATGAAACTGGATCCTAATCTCTCACCTTATACAAAAATCAGTGAAAGATGTGATTAAGGACTTACATCTAAGACTTGAAACTATAAAAATTGTAGAATATAACATTGAAAAAACCCTTCTAGGCATTGGCTTAGGCAAGGATTTCATAAGAGCCAAAAAGCAAATACAACAAAAACAAAGATAAATAGCTGGGACTTAATTAAACTAAAGAAATTTTGCATGATAAAAGGAACAGACAGCAGAGTAAACAGCCAACCCACAGAGTGGGAAAAAATCTCCACAATCTATATATCTAACAAAGGACTAATATCCAGCATCTACAGCAAACTCAAATCAGCAGGAACAAAACAATCCCATAAAAAAGTGGACTAAGGACATGAATAGACAATTCTCAAAGGAAAATATGCAAATGGCCAAAAAAACTGATGGAAAAAAATATTCATCATTAATGATCAGGGAAATGCAAATAAAAACCACCTAACTCCTGCAAGAATGATCATAATCAAAAACAGTAGATGTTGGCATGGATGTGGTGATCAGGGAATTCTTCTACACTGCTGTTGGGAATGTAAACCAGTACAACAATTTGGAAAAGAGTGTAGCGATTCCTTAAAGAACTAAAAGTAGAACTGTCATTTGATCTAGCAATCCCACATCTGGATGTCTACCCAGAGGAAAAGAAGTCATTATATAAAAAAAGGTATTGGCACACACATGTTTATAGCAGCACAATTCACAGTTGCAAAATCATGGAACCAACCCAAATGCCCATCAATCAACAAGTGGATAAAGAAACTAGTATATATATACAATGAAATACTACTCAGCCATAAAAAGGAATGAATTAATAGCATTCACAGCAACCTGGATGAGATTGGAGGCTAGTATTCTCTGTGAAGTAACTCAGGAATGGAAAACCAAATATCTTACATTTGCACTGATATGTGGGAACTAAGCTGTGAGAATTCAAAGGCATAAGAATGATACAATAGACTTTGGGGACTTGGGAAGAGTGGAAGTGGGGGCGAGAAACGACAAATACTGCAAGTACGGTGTAGTATATATTGCTCTGATGATGGGTGCACCAAAGTCTCACAAATCACCACTAAATAACTTACTCATACAACCAAACACCACCTGTACCTCAATAACCTATGGGAAAAAAAAAGAATTAGAGGGTATTTTGTTCTAAATCTGAGCCTAAATACTATTTGCCAAACAGACTCTTTATAAATTACAAAATATTCCATATGTAAAAATTATAATTCAAATAATATATTTGAAATTTAGGATTCACTACCTAATATATAACTTGCCAATGAAAGTTTCATTAGACAGAGCTCTTTGGGGAAATATTTTTAATTGGCAATATTCATTTATTAAAGGTGGGCTTGTTTTTCAGCCCCATTAGCTGCATGAGGTTATGTGGAAATATTTGACAACATTTATAACTTTTTATCCCAAGGCATTATCAAAGTGTTATCAAAATATTAAAGCTGGTACTCACCATGTATGGAAAGAACTGGGAAAGGAACAACTGTCCTTTACTGGCTAAAATGGCATCTAAAATTTTCTTTATT